AAGAGTCCAAAACAAGTCGAAGAGTTAATAAGACTCTGACAAATTCTTGTCCGCTTGCTGAGGATATCCTGAACTTTTCTTATGGTAAGCGCTGCTGTTGTTCCTGCCCTTAGCCTCTGTTAGCTGCTGTTAGTCAGCAAAATTGGTATGGCCCAGATCTGGCCCACACAATGTGCTTACACATGGCCCGCATACCGCAAAGAATGACGGCCCTTTGGTGGCCCAGATCTGGTTTGCCAATGGTGGGCCATACATGGGCCAGCACAAGGCCAGTTGCAAACACACTGGTGGTCCTTTGCTGGCCCATGTGTGGATTATCTCTGGCAAACCTGGTCTGGGCCACCAAAGGGCCATCATTCTTTGCGGTATGTGGGCCACGTGTAAGTTGTGTGCAGCCACGGGCCAGTTGCAGACACACATGACAAAACTCTGTTTAGACAGTGAATGGACTGATTCTTATATAGTGTTTTTCAACTCTACCAGATTACTCAAAGTGCTCTATACAACATGCCACAGTCACCCAATCACACACTTTCTCTTAACTGAGTGCTTTCTAACTACATTCACACTCACACTCTTGACATGCAGACTGGATAAGCCAGGGATCAAACCACTAACCTTCCAATCAATAGGTGACCTGCTCTACGCCTGAGCTACGGCCACCCACTGGCAAAGATGAGTAAAACCCTCACTAGGTTTTGGATATAGTGTAAACTCACAAACCCGTCAAACCTGCATTTGAAACGTTGGCTACCATAGCAGTATAGTATTGCAACATGGCATTTGGGTCTTCTAACTAAAATAGGAAAATAGGAACATAAATAGTGCATCATTGCCAGACCTGGCCCACATCTGGTTGACATACACTCTGCCATAACACCGGTCAGTCAGAAGTGCCAGCTTGATGCCGGATCCCGCCAGACCTGTTTTCTATGGGCCTGGGCCACATAAACCAAACCACAATCGAGCCAGATGTGGCATGCCATCACATAGACAGTGCCATCTATGCCAGTCCTGGCCCATATCAGGATGACATACGTCTTATCATGCCAGAAGTCAGCCAGCAGTGCTGGCTTGATACCAGATCCGGGCCAGACCTGCTTGCTATGTTGGCATTAGTGAAACTTCATTTATAGTGAACCTAACATTGTTGGGCTCAGACAATTTGCAAATAAACTTGTATAAGATGGGAGAATATGATGAAATTGTTTATCAGAGGGAGCATGAGATATTTTTTTGGACACTCAAGCCTAACATTATAATGTTAGCTTAAATCCCTCTGCTGTTGATCTTAAGCTAGCTCACTGTCAGCTATCAGACAGGAGGTTGCATGTCAAATCTGCTGACAAGAAGTAACTGTTACAATATTGGGACCAAATGAGCATGTTTATGCATGTTTTTGTGTGTCGGTGCCATGATTTCAGTTCAGGACATGAGGGTTAACTTGAGTAGGAAAAGGATGATATTTTCTCCAGATGTGCATCACGTTTTCTTTTTCCTTCGCGTTTTCGCTTCTTTGGTGAAGGGGAACCCTTGTCAGATGATAAAAGACAGGTATGATGCTTCATATCTTGAGTTTGAATTACAGTTTGCCACTAAATCACATAACCAGAGTAGTTAGCATGTATTGATGACTACTGCCATTAGACAGCTATCTCTACAGATGCACATGCAAGCGATCCTTTCAATCATCAACCTGGTAATTAAAACTGTACCTATTACAGAAGGGACAAACAGAAGCTACAAAACATTTAGTATGCTACAAAAAAGCAGCAGCAAACGCAACATATGTTCAGCACTAAGTTGCAATGATGATCCTCCTTCCTTTTTTCAAATTTATTCATGTAGTGGACTTCACTTGTACTAACCCCTTGTACTAAACTTGACAAACATGCACGCAAACAACAGAATGTACCATTCCAAACATGTTGGAACAGACAAAGTTTGTTCTGAGTGAAAACCCTAAGGGCTTTGTCCTTGCCAGAGCATCTCTCAACCCCCCGTCTTCTATCCCAACATCCTTCATCCTTCTGATGAAACCCTGGGGAAGGTTCAATTTTAGGGACTAAACTCCAGCTTTGCCCCTAAAGACTGTCTCTTTCCCTTTGCTCTGTTTTGCTTGGTTTAGGCCAATTTACTGCTTGCAGTTATACTATTACCACTGTCAAGCCACCATATTCCCACAAGAGCGAGAGAATATTCCCACAGTACAGTCCTGATGTGCAGCTTACACCAACACTGAAACCTAGTAAAACAACACTGAGGAGGACCTCTACGAGCTTTGCCAACAGGCCTTATTGACAAGTTAAGACCATTAACTTTATTCGCTTGTTGACACTGGTTTGCCGCGATGCCCCATCATCAGTCAGTCTTGAGTGCTTTGGATGAATCCCAGTCAGACCTGAATCATGAAGCTGGAGGCAGATCTGGGAAACAGCGACCACAGTTCAGTCCACACACAGACAGTGGCCAAAAAAACTCTGCCTCCTCTCTGTCCAAAGCTGTCAATGTGACTGTGGCACTCCTGTCCGTGATTGATGACCGTGGCTCTGCATATTTCTGAAGCTGACACGTGCTGCCTCTGTTGGCCGGGAGTCCTCTCTGTTCTATTTTGTTTACATTATTCGTCTTATTTCTCTGACCAGCCCAGCTGTCGAGTGCATATGGAAGGGTTTTTTTTTTCCATGCCCTCAGTTGTCCAGGTATGTGTAACGAAATCTTGAGTTCTGTTTTGAAAACCCTGGGAGTTCCAGTCGTTTTCACATTTGAGGTTTTTCTTTAAGCTCCCCCACCCCCGCCTTCCCTCTCACCCACTTGTACTCCCATAGAATTGTCCACCCAAAGCTTCTAACTGCTTAATTTGTAGCACTTCCAATAAGTAAAACAAACATAGGTTTTAAAAAAAAAAACAGTGGGCACCACCCAGCATCTTGACCACTTTATGTAATGAAGTAAAAAGGCCTGTGTGTGTGCCTACATTATTAGTGTTTTTAAAATCGGGCATTTTCAGCTTACCTTTTACGTTGGCATCAGAGAGAAAAAAGTTACTGACTTTCCAATTTCTTCATGTTTTATTCTCAAAACATGAGCTTTCGGTTTGATCCTATGAAAAAATGACCAATCATGTAGGTGGTTGTTTAAAACACATAACTGTTGCACTTGTTTCATGATACAGTCTTGCAGGTTAGTCACTCAAACTTAACTAGTTATTTCATCTTTTGCATAACCCTAAACTGAAGCAGCTGATGCTGAAATCAGACAAAGATCAGGTATAAATGTTAGGTTCTTTAAACAGAAAAAAAGTTAATCGAGTTAACAGAATCAGACCCACATACGAGTGTGTGGATCCAACATGCTTTCAGACCGCACAAAATGTCCCAGATTGCACATTTTCAATGCTTTACAAACAGATGCAATGTATCTCGCCTATGAGTGAATTTGACAGCAAGAAAGAAACTAACCATGAATTCCTTATACGTCTACATGCATACAGTAACAAGGTCAGTAAAAAGGTTGAAGCAGTAGAGTACAGAAACCAAGTAACCGTCTCCTGATCCTTAAAATGTGATCTGTGCATTGTGGCACAGCAACATTGGTGCATGCAGCTCCACATGTGTCACCACACAGAATAAATTAACAGCTGTAACTTCTCTTAAACACCTGCAATAACAATCCAGCGTGTAGCAGGTTAGCTAGCTTCCCTGCTCTCCCTCTCTTTCTTTGCATTGTCATTTGATCCAGCCTCTGCCCTACGTAAAATTCTCAGAGCTACAGAAGAGGTTTGGAAAGCAAAGCAGAGAGGCCGGTCTCTTCTGAGTCTGGATACAACCGTAAGTAAAGATGAAAGAAGAATGAAAGATTGATGTGGCCAAAATGTGTTTCCCTTGGACGTTAATTTAGAAAGCAGGACATACTCTCCACTGAGTCTGTATCAAGTCTTTTTTAGACCACAGTTGGAACTGAAATACACACAGAGTTGCCAGTGAAGCTGGGTGGCTAAAATAAATATGCTGATATTACTAAGCAGTCACATTTAAAACAACGAGTCTTCCAAAGGCGTCGCTTTAGTTGTTTCCCATATCGTCACTTGAGGGCAGACCCAACGCAACTTGAACTAATTTATTTAGAGGAGCCTGGAGCTTTTCTTTCACTGATGTCATCAGTCATCTTTGCCGCAAATACAGAAAACAAGTAACTTAATCGCAATTGCAAACACCGCTACCTGGGTGAGTCAAATTAGGCTGAATGCCAGCGAGTAGCTGTAAAAGGTTTAACGGTTAAAATTTCAAGATTTCCAGAGTAACGTGATACACGATAAACTTCCACACAGAACAAATAATCTCTTCTGGAAAACACATCACAAAAAAAAGAAAGAAAAAAAGTTGGGAAAGCCTTGAAAACCATATCAGCTCAACACAAATGCAAACAGTTTTAACAAAGGACAACAGGTGTCATTGAAGTGTAACTGTTCACCAGAGATATATTCAGCAAACGAGGCTTGGCAGCTTGTACCTGCTCTCATGCAACATACAGTAACTTGACTCACCTTTTGTTTGCTGCAGTAGTTTATTTAATCTGAGGTTATAGTGCTTTTCATGAAGTGTTGACACGAGTTTGTCACCTGTTACCTCTTTTGGCTCATTCCCTAATCTCACGACTAATCCCAAACCCTGTCAGGGATTCCACCGTGTGTCGTGTCTGACAATGTATGTGTGTGCTTGTTTCCAAATAAAGCAGAGCGAGCAGCTGGGATCCAAACATCACAACAGAAGCTGACGACATGGTGAAGTGAACAATTAATCTCCAAACACTGTGAACGCGACTGACAAATGCGGAACACTTTATCTTGGCAGGATCTTCTCGTGTGGTTCAAGGTAATGCTATTTTTAATCATCGGCACACAGAGCGCTTCATTCTTCACCGTATGTTCCAGGATGAGACTGGGTCTTTAATTAACAGATTAGCATTGATATGAGATGTCATTCTGAATACAGACTCACCTGATCTGATCTATGCAAACTCAGCTTCTTCTGCTGAAGTATCCTCCTCCTCCTCTTCTATCCCCTGGCTTTAAAATGCAAATCTCTGATGTCAGCACATTTCCTCGCAGACTGCCTCACAGGTATGACTCTGAATACCCTCTGCCCTCTCCCAAACCTGCTGGAAAACAAAAGACACACACAAAACCCATTTTGCAATCTGTCATCAAGGGCTGGGAAGCAGGAAAAATGCGCACGAGACAGAAATTGATTTCATGTGTTTCTCCATCTCCTCTCGCAGTCTGACTGGCACTCACTGTCGCTTCCTATTAATCAGACGCGGTGCAGAAAAAGGTCGACAGCAGAGCAGACATGCTGAAGACCGTAGAACAAAGCTTTTCAGATTAGTATGTTGAAAGATCAAACTGTCAAATGAGATCAGGGTGACATGTTTTGAACGAGGTGAAAGGCAGAGCCCGCTCTTTATACACATATAAGGAAATATGAACTTCTCAGGAAAAGAAGGCAAGTGCCACGAAACATATTTCAGAGACCTTGAGACAATATTGTATGAGCAAAATTACAGTGAGCCACAGCTGGGTGCTGAAGTGAAACAGCGACGTTCCCTCACGATGGAAACAGGTGACTCGTACTGTGTTTGTGGGTGGTCTCGGCTGACCTGTATTTTCTTAATAAACCAGTAAGTTAGGGTGTAATTATAGGCTGTCGAGCTGCCAGCGTGTCAGACTTGTATGTGTGGGTGAAAGTGCTGACAGTGTCATATCAGCTGTGTGAACTTACATGTGAACCATATACACACAAAAATGGAGAAAATATTTGCATAACTGTAATTTTTTTTGTTTTACTATCATCTTTTTTTCCACCCACGCAGACTCACACAGCTGTCTTTTATTTGCCAGGATCCAGCAGCAAATGGTGATACATTGTGAACTTTAACACACAGATTCTTGACATTCTTTATGGGTGTGAGTTACTCTCCAACTCAAACTGGCGTTTGGCTTCAGGACGCTTTTCTTTCCGGACAGCAGGTCACTGTCGCAGAAGGAGTTCAAGCAATCCTTTCCCACATATACAGGCTATTATTGACCTCTCTACATGCAGGAAGTCCATTTTTCACAGTCTTGCACAGGTTCAGCTCCCTGACTGAACACCACTTGAAACAAGGACTCCAGGTTTGGAGCTGCATCAGCATATTTTGCTGTGTATGACGGGTCTTGCAGTGGCACGCTCAATGTTGCTTAATGTAAAAGGAATGCTAATTAAACGATGCAACAAGCCAACTCAGGGCTGATGCAAAGATATAAAAATGTATTCATGAGCTACTATATGTTTATATTGCTGAAATGCACTATGCAAGTAGGCTGAAATATTTTTATGCAGGAAAATATGTAGAAGTATCAATCACAAGATGACCTTCCATAACGCCACTGAGCTCTCAGACCGCATCCATCCTGAAAGAGTATTACATATTTTTATACACTCACCGGACACTTTATTAGGTACACCTCCCTTTTGTCTTGAGAACTGCTAAAATTCTTTGTATCATAGATTCAAGATGTTGCTGGAAACATTCATCAGAGATTTTGGTCCATATTGACATGACAGAATCACACAGTTGCTGCAGATTTGTTAGCTGCACGTGCAAGACGTGAATCTCCTGTTCCATCCAAAAGGCGCTCTATTAGATTGACATCTGGTGACGATGGAGAGATTTGAGTACAGTGAAGTCATTGTCGTGTTCAAGAAACCAGTTTGAGATGATTTGAGCTTGATGACAAGGCACATTATCCTGCTGGAAGCATCCATCAGAAGATGAGTACACTGTGGTAATAAAAGGATGGGCATGGTCAGCATCTGCTCAAGTAAATTGTGGGTTTTATATTGTTCTCAGTTGGTACTGAGGGCACCACCTCAGTGAGTGACACCCAGAGTGGTTTCTGCTGCTGTAGCCCAACTGCTTAAAGGTTTGATGTTTTGTGCATTCAGAGATGATCTTCTGCAAACCTTGGTTGTAACGAGTGGTTATTTCAACTCTTGCTGCTCCAGTTTGAACATTCTCCTCTTACCTGTGGCATGAACAAGGTACTTTTGCACAGAGAACTGACACTCACTATTTTCTTTTTTGTGGAACATTCTCTGTAAACCCTAGTGATGGGAAAATCCCACTAGATCTGCAGTTTCTGAAACACTTAGACCAGCCAGTCTGGCACTAACAGCCATGCATGGTCAAACTCGCTTAAATCACCTTTCTTCCCCATTCTGATGCTCAGCTTGCAGATTGCCTTGACCTGCAGCTCAGTGCATTTAGGCACACACACAGTGCCTAAATGCACTGACTACAGAACAAACTGTTATCTATTAACGAACAGTTGAACAGGCTGCTGAATGTAAACCGGATAAAGATAAATCATACTGGGAGGTAAAAATTGTACTTCACAGTTAAAAAGGAATGTGGAAAAGGGGTCCTCTTGTCTCATCAGTCAGACCATGGCTATCTTCACACCTTCATTTTTACTAACCACCTGTAAGGTTTTGTGACTGTGTCTTTCACAGTTGTGATACAGACAAACAACTGCCAAAGAACTCAGACTACAGCTGTGGCTACAACAGGTTACACAAAGACAGAATCAAAGGGTGAAAATAACATGACTTACACTTGTTTGAATTGGATTTGATGAATTCTTCTGGTATTCATTTATACTGACATTTGGCATTTTTGGATTTCTGTGTCTATTTCCTTGTTTCAGGATCGTCTTAACGTTACCATAATTAAATTTCTTTCTTTTTTTTTTGTTTGTCTTATTTTTATGAGAAGGTACATTCATAACTACAGTGCTCTAGTAATTTACTCAGGTGTGTTTCTGAGAGTGTCTAAAATTTACTACACTATATCAGATGTTGATCTTCTTCATTTCAGTTAGTCAGGTCAGTAGAGGGAGTCTGAGCCTGACCCAAAACTTGAGTGGAGAAAACAGGATTCTATTATAGTCAGAGCGGTTTATTTTACATAGCCTATCAACAGGCCGAGCAGAAAGTCAATTAGCCTGCCACTTTGGAGACACACACACACACACACACACACACGCACACACACACACACACACACACACACACACACACACACACACACACACACACACGATGAGCTTTGTCAAATACTACCTCTAACTCCAGGAAAACAGCCTATCGTGATCAATACAGCTTTTAGTTTTGGATTACATTTTCTTCACAATATTATCGGTGTGGAGCTTCAAGTGAGACCACTCAACTTTACATTTGTGAGTTCCCATTTAACAAAAGAGCTCGGTTTTACAGTCAGTCATGTGCATATAAACAGATACTATGTCATTCCATTTATAAGAAATGTTCTCAGGCACATGGATAGAGAGTGCATGAGAGTTTGACTCACCATCCAAACCCAGGGCATCAGAAAGCATCCTGTCACCGTGCCCAGCCAGAGCTTCAGCACTTGTCCTTCTCTGGAAGAAATAAAAGTGGAAATACTGGAAGAAGCTCATATGTCTGTCATAAAACTGCAGACTAAATTTCAAACTCAGGTCATTTCCCCACTTTTGCATTAACCCAATCACGCAAGGTACCCTTATCCTTTCTGCTCTTTGATCTTCAATCATCTTCCACTCATCCTATTTTTCCCCAGTAATACGATGAACTTACAGGCAACCTCCCATCATCTTCATTAGTCTTTCATCAGCAACCCTACATAAAACGATGAGTGGGTCATTTGTACTTATGTGTTTGTGAATTAGCATTAATTGTCAAAGTCCCAGGGGAATCTAAGCTAACTGAAACAAGATCGACTATTTCAGATTGGAACATGTAACCTGTGCTTCCAGGTTAATTATATCCAGAGAGGAGTAATAGGAAAAATCTACAAATGGTAATGACGACAGAAACTTATCATTTAAAATAAAGAATTTAACTAAGGCAGGATAAGATTTCTGAGAGAAAAGCTTCCCAGGTGCCACCTATATTAAATACTGTTCCTGTTTCAAAGAGAAGCTTAGTATGGAGATTTTAGGATGGGAAGACAGACAATAGCAGACAAAATATGAGTGAATGAATGGCAGATGGAAAAGCCATACCTGTGGAAAATTCTTGATGTGAGATGCTCTTCCTTCAGGGAGTGCACACAGAGGAGAAAAAGCTAAAAGAAATGATGAAAACATATAAAGTCCTGGCAGCTGGAAAAGGCATTGAGCAAAGCCTGTCTGTAACTGGATCTCTGAAAGTTTGTATCTCGATATACTCCATTTGTCTCTGTGCTCATGTTACATGAGTGTGAGGTGATGAGCTAAAGTCTTCATTATTGCTTTTCTTCTGCAGTCCTAACAAAACTTTATAGGTAAAAACTTCTCCCTCCTCCCACATATTTGGTCATTACCTGTGCGGTCCTCAAATACTGCTCCTATTAAGCTTGTTAATATGCGGCAGTGATCTCTGCCTGGATTGGCTGTCCTTGCTTCCTGTAATTATAAGGGAGGAAACTTGAGGTGAAAGGTCGCAGCTTGCTAAGTTTAGCCCTGTGGACAAATCCAGACATAGGCCAGTATCTAACCACAGTGATTAGGAGTGTTTATGCATTTATGTGCACCACACACGTAAATATGATGCTATTTGATTTAAAATTCTGATTTGTCTAAAGCCACATATCCATCACTTGTGATTCCTCATCATTGCTACACATTTCCACCCGTGAAAGTTTCAATCAACCAGATGAAGAAATCTATTGGTTAATTACTCTTAGTCAACACTGCAGTCCATACAGAGCTCTGTGGGAACTCCATCTGACATTTTTCACAGACAGGGCAGCCCTCATGCTGCTGCATAACAGGCCTAACAAGTAGAATATACACACACTGTGTTAGTCATCAGTGCCAGAGAGTCCACCACACTGAAACACTTGTAGCAGGAGTCTGCGGTAGACCACAAAGGGCTGCCTTGCCAGCCACCCTCACTTGACATGCCATCATGCCTAAGGACAGGCGTGACTCCTGCCAGGGGCAGAGCCAGGGCAAGAACCGGGTGGTGGGCGGTGGTTTGATCACTCTCTGTGAGTTTAATATTACCAATAAACACTCACTCTGTTGTGCCTCAAAGAGCCTCTCTGTCTTGTAGAGAGTTAGAGGGGCTGCTGTGTTCCAAGACTACACCACAGGCCTGAATGAGGTGTATTGCTCCCACCGGGCTCAGAGATAGTCGTGTAAACATGAGACGATGTCATAGACAGTTTACTTTGTGTCATCCGTTCAGTGGTCAAGTATTTCCATCACTCAACTCTCACAGAGAGAACAGTCCCCCACATACAAGCTCCTGAATAATCAGGCCCCATCATGTCTTAAAGACCACATGGTACCATATCATCCCAACACAGCACTTCACTCTCAGATTTGCTGGCTTAATGGTTCATGGTATATTTAAAATTAGAATGGAGGCACAGCCTTCAGGTTTCAGGGCCCTTTTCTCTGGAACCAGCTCTTACCGGTAGTTTGGATTCAGGAGACAGCCACTCTCATTACTCTACTCTCAAGGCTAGGCTTAAAACTTTCCTTTTTAATAAAGCTTATAGTTAGGGCTGGATCAAGTGCCCCTGAATCATCCTTTAGTTATGCTGCAATAGGTCTAGGCTTCTGGGGGATTCCCATGAGTATTTCTTCTTCACTCATTAGGTCTTTATACACCACTCTGCATTTAATCATTAGTGATATTTATCTCTGACTCTCTTCCACAGCTCGTCATTTGTCCTGTCTTCCTCCCCTCAGCTACAGATGGACGCCCCTCCCTGAGCCTAGTTCTGCCTGAGGTTTCTTCCTGTTGAAAGGGAGTTTTTTCTTCCCACTGTCGCCAAGTTCTTGCTCATAGCTGGTTATCTGATTGAAGGGTCTTTACATTACAATATCAAGCACCTTGAGGCAACTGTCGTTGTGATTTCGTGGCATATAAGTAAAATTGCATTGAACTGTTAATACCTTCAATCTACCTCTAGTCATAGAGGCAGTGTAAATCTACGTATTTTATTCCCCCTGCATTATCTACATCCCAGCTGACCAATAAGTACAACAGTGGCAAATCAAATCAGTCACAGTGATTACATTATTACATAGACCTTGATTATATCATATGATCTTTATCAGCTGATGGAGTTGACCCAATTTGATTTTGATATGTAATCAGTTTAATAAGTCAGATTAAGCACCAATAATATATTATAAGTGAACTACTGGGCTAACCTTATCTGGTGATGAAGATGACCGTCATAATCAATGCAATGAAAACAACTTTGAATATCTATCGCAAAATTGGCCAAATTGTCGAATTTAACAGGGGAGACCTTGATAACAACTTTACTCAGTGGATTAAAACAGCTGTCTCTTATCATAACGCAACTCCGAGGCCATTGTCCATCTGATCAGGCATCAAAGATGTACCGCCGCGATCAATTTAAGCATCATCAGCACCGTCACAGACTCCACCAATAACGCTGTCCGGCGTCGCGCAGATCGCCCGCAGCTGCTGCCACTAAATACCCCCCCTCGTAGGGAGCCAAATAAGCATTTCGGCTGAATTCATTTGAACAGCAGCACGGAAAACAAATCACGGACCCCTCCGGGTTTCACTGACGAAAGTCTGGACATCCACTGCACGAGTACTTCCCAGTGCAGCTGAAACTGCGCTCCCACAGAGACAACAAAAGTATACTTACCGTCTCTTCTTAAAGCTGCACAATAAAATCCCAGCCGTTCCTGATTTCAGATCTACTCTGGTCTCTTATTTGTGCCCATGCGCCTCTACGTCTGGAGTTTTCCAAGTGTAGACTACCGATAGTTTTTGGAGGCTGCTTAAATCTCGTGTCCCACAGCTCCCACCTCTGACGTCTTGGAGAATGGCAATAACCTGAGCTCCTGCAGTTATTTGAATATCACTGGATATGTTTTCAGTTATTCCTGAATCTCTCACACTTTATAGCCTATAGCAGTTACAAGACAGAAGACCAAGTATAGTTTCTTTAATTCTTATACAGACATTTGTAAGCTACTTAAATTTCTTACTGAAGTTTAAGTGCATGGTGCCCGTCTGCCTGCCTCTTAAGCTTCCCCTCATAATAATAGTTATAGCAGACACATATCAAGCAGTGATACATCACACACTCGTCTCAATGCTTTCTGTCCATCTAACGTCTCATAAACAGAGCATAAACAACAACAGTTTTGATCTAGTGTCCGGTGCAAAAGAATGGAATAACATGGTTTTGAAATGATGCATGGCAGCCAATGTTGGACTGTTTTATTTCAATGAATGCATAGAAAGTGTGCAAAACAAACAAACCAAAACCTGACAGCAGAACTCCACTTTTGAAAATATATTTTAAAATTGTTTTTTGGTAACCTGAAAATCCCACAAAACTGTGATTGAATGGTTTAGCACAAAATAGGAAAAATAAAATGCGTTTTAATGCCAGGAGCTGGTTCAATACCACTGGAAGGATGCTCATTCAAACATTTAACTACTGAAGTATAGACTTTACAACATGAACAGAAACAGCTGGATGTCCCCACTTTATTCACTTGACATTAGCAAGTTTTTTCAAAATACTCCTGGATGCATCAATAATAAAATGCACGCACAATATATAAATTGCACATTTTAATAGGTTACTGCCTGGTTTTTTCATTTCACTGTGATAACTAAACAGCACATCATTTAAAGATTTTACTAAAAATTACTATTAATAATATTTCCCATTGTTTTGCCAGACTGAGTGATCCCTGTCTAAAATATACTTTGTTTTTATTATTATTTAAAGTTAAATAAGCTTAATTTTTAAACCCTGTAAACTAATTTTTTCTCATCTTCAGCACACCACCACCACCACACGGGTATTAAAAATGCATCGGTGTAGATACAGAACTGACAAAGAAGTCAACAGTGCACTGAATTTACTCTTGCATATTCTATTAAAAGTTATGTGACATAACTAATGATAATAGCTAATACCAATACTAGAGCACAGAATGAAGCTTACAGTGGAATCTCTGACCAAATATTATTATTATTAAAGAATGCCAGTAATCCAGTTTATTTATTTATTTTTGTTTAAATCAAGAACATATTTAACATTTGCTTGAAATATAAGTTGCTGCAAACTGATGCCCCCCTCTCTCTCTTATGTATATTCACAGAAGGTCAGCTCAGATGTTGACGGTGTGGGCGTGTTTCTTGCACAAAGGTTTGTCTTTCTTGGAGAAGAATGCCTGACCCTCCAGGTTAGTAGAGCACACCTGTAGAGAGAAAAACATAATATAGTTGGTTTACTTAATGCGTCATTGGCAGTATTTACTTATGTGGATTTCCAGCTCTTGTTGCACAGAGAATTAATCTCCTGAACATACTGTGCACACAAAACAGGTGTCGTGCCAGGTGAATCCTAGAGCCTCCAAGAACTTGTCCCCTGCCTCAATGGGGAAGTCGCAGCCATGACAGTTGGTCCCAAACAGGTTGTAGTAGTCTGAGTGAACAGCAAATGTTAGTCTGTTTGAACGAGACATTGTCTTTATTTTCTTTACAAAACATCGCTTAACCTTTTTCACAGTATGGCTGTCCGTCCTCCATGTGAAACGTGTTGCCTCTGATTGGGAGGTGGCAGGCCGAGCAGACGAAACAGGACACGTGCCAGGTCTGTTTCAGGGCATTCATGATCTCCTGTGGAGAAAAGATATCAAATTAAACACTTTTGAATCATTTTTGTATTTATCACGACAAAATGAATTAAAATAAAGTGACTATTTCAGTGTTAGCAGATGGATAGCAGCTCCTGCTATAAACACATGATTGTACACAGTTAACAATATTAAGGAAAGTTAGCTACAGCTTACATATGTATATGTGCTACAATCATATTACAGCTCTTTTTTTGAATATATGTCAACACACAGTATGTGCTGTATATTTTTAAATGTGCAATCACACACACTTCAGTGGATTTGATCAGTGTTTGCTTCATTTCCTGGAATAGAGTGGAGGGTAATATGAGTTTCTAGTTAAAGCGGACAAAGACACTTTAACCCACCCCCAGAATCTTCTGCTGGCAGCGGGCGCAGGTGGGAGCAAAGAACTGCTCATAGCACTGCACACAGTACACCTTGTTCCCCTCCTCCACAAATCCATGGTCTGCCAGGGAGGAGCGGCAGTGAGCGCAGTTGAACTCCTCAGGGTGCCATGCCATACCCATGGCCACAAGGAATGGTCCCCTGGTGGGATTGAGCACAGATCATAAACATAAGCAAAGCACCACTTGAGGAGTTTTACATAAACATTCTGCATAATAAGCTGTAGGCTGTACAGACCTTTAGACTTATTCAAATGTAAATGTAGCTGATGAAGAATGTTTTACTGTTCCAAAGCTCCTTTGCTGAATGCAGTTTTTCTGACGTACCTGATGATATTGCTGCACTTGCAGCACATTGGGGTGCGCGTACCAGCTGGGATGTGCTCAGCACGCTGTACCAGAGAGTTGAGGTCCTCAGGATGTGGCCGCGGGGTGGGGCGGTCTGGTCCTTTTGGAGCAGGATTGGTGATTTTGCCAAATGAAGGAAGTGCTCCACCCTTAGGAAAACCTAAATGAGAAAAAGCTATGGGTCAGATGACTGAAGAAAAAGAAAAGAAAAAAGATAAAGTCCTGGTTTATGTTTCAAAATGAAAGTGAACAAACAACTAGTAGTTACTAGATGCAGTTAACAGAAAAGAAGAGGTTAGGGGTGTGTGTGGTCGGATGAGGAATGGGAATTATTTAATGACTTCAGTGCCTGAACCATGACAGATCAGGCTTGGACAGAGCCACCCAACTGTGATTTTCCTACTGAGGCAAACAAATTCCAAGACACCTGGAAAAACAGAACGGTTTTTAACAGAAACTGATTCTTACTGGAAGAGATTTTTAGGTCTTTAAACACAAAGGACAGTGAGACTTTTAAAGCTGGGGAAAATATTTCCCCGTGTAGCAAATGCTATTTGCCTTTTAGGCAGCAGCTCTTTCACCTCAGTCTGTTTTTGTGGCTGTGATTTTATCTCTGCCCTCCTCACAGCTTTAGAAAACAGGCATAGAAAAGCTTTTAATCCAAACACAATGAAAAATGATTCTGATGTGATGATGATGATGATGATGATGATGATGATGTGCAGAAATTTAAATTGTGAAAATGATAAATTTAACTTATAAACACTGCAAATCTGAATGATGCATGGCACATACTCAGCCCCCTTTCACAGATATGTGCTTGTTTACTTGAACTCAGGCACTTGTTAATCTGATAAATAACAGTCAACAAAGACCTCACTGTGTCGCCTCCTGCTCTCTCTCCCTCTGAGGAACCTTTCAGCAGACGTTTTTAAAGGCTTCCAGGGAAATACTTTTGGATGCACAGTGCATCTGTTCATGTGCGACAGCATGCTTTTATCATACAGCTGGATTGATAATAATGATCACAGGCTGATTCCTTTCAACAAAAAGAAAATTTGCATTACTTCCTAAAGTTTTCATGCCAGGGTTTTCTGTATTTAAAGAGCAGAATAAAACCCTCTAAAACCTATAAAACATCACTTTC